TGAAAATCAAGGGCGTGCCATCCCGGGACAAATACCACCTAGCTAAGACCAGTAAAAACTGTGTCTTACCTTGCCAGTGTCGTCACCATAGTAGTGGCATACTGCTAGTAGGGTGACCAGGTCGGCATTGCCTGCGGACGCTAAACCAAAACCAAATTTTGGGGGTAACTAGCATTCCAAAAACGAAAAGACCTGGAAATGTCCAAGGAGCACTGACGGGAGAGACTTGTCTGCACAAATCTGTAGCCCAGACTGCTCTATCGCCTATGCACAGGGAGCCCTATGATCGTCCAGGCTGGGTCAACAATCAATCTGACCCACAACGACGGGATCCACCCTAAAAAGATCTTCCTCAATTGATTGCATGTCCCTTGGGTAATACTTAATAAAGACGGATTGCATTCTCCAGATGCCTGCCCTAAGCATGTGTTGGGGGCCCCTGACGCAAAAGCTAGTTAGCGACCGCACCGTCATGGCTCATACTTGGTGTCTCTGTAGACCCAGTGCCGATGACGCCAATCAGTCATAATCTCAAAACACTGTCGAAGTGATCCACCAAGAAATGGAAGTCGGGGAGGCTGGTATACCCTGCTTACGCTGGTCAAAACATAGAAGCAACTCCTCCTGGGTCGACAATATTGGCCACACGGTGGATAACGATTGGATGTAGATCTTGCTCTGGGATTTGGTTCTTGTGTCTTTAGTACAATTTGATTGTCCATAAAGGTGGCACAACCCTCCAAAAAGGACAAGGCCCCCAACTCAGAATGACGCCTACCAGAGACAAGAGCTAGTAGTAAGATCGTTTTCCACGTCAAATATTTCAGTGGTGCTAATTCCAGCGGTTCAAATGGTGGTCCAGTTAGAGCTGACATCACAACCAACAAATCCAAATTGGGTGGTTCCCTAGAGGCCAGAATTGTTGCCTGGTCTTCTACCCTGTAAACTGTCTACCTCCTGCTGGATTGCCTCTGCTTTGATGGGATCCCTCAGCAGCGCTATTTTGTAACCATGTATGACCACATGGGGTGTCCAGGGGTTGGTTACCCGCTGATTCCAAGCCAGAATACACCGACACAATCTGTGTGCAACAAGCATATGTGGCTACAGGTTCGGCGGTTCTAAATTGGGGGAAATCTCTAGTCACTTCGCAGCTTGTAAGAGTTGAAAAGCTCAGACTCCTGCCTCCTGCCGAACGATTGCCCTTCCCCCTTGTCGCAGACGGAAACGTCAATCTCACTTCCCCCATGACCTCGGGGGGCAACCACCCGAAGGAGAGGAAGACCCACCACCTGGTCCCTTCTTTTTTGGAGGCTTGTTGCTACCCGTCCCTCCCTGGAAGAGTAGGGGTGCTTGCCTCATGGCTGCTTCTGGCCAGTGGGTGCAGACTTTGGCTGTTGTGTTTTCTCCACTTGGGATCCAGTCCAATTGCACTGTTTCGCAGACTCCTCTTGTACCATCTAATCTGTGGCTTCCCGAAGCTCCGAGACAGCACCCTCCATCTCCCCATCAAAGATGGAAGAAATCCAGTCTGCATAACTGAGGCGGGAAAGGGAAAGGGAGTGTCCGATCAAACCTCTAATGCCTGCGGGTTATCGAAGGTGAGTGACCCGCAGAGGCAGTGGCCTGGGAAAGGTCCTTGGTACTGGCTCCAACTGACAATCCCTGGCTGGCAGGATACATGCAGGGGAGAGACACTACTCGCATCCTCCCTGCTCTGCTCTGTCCACCTTCATATAGGAGGCTTGACACACCCATATGCCTCATTGGAGCAGTTGGCTCCAAGGGCACAGCTGGCACAATCGGTAAAATAGCAGGCGGCAATGATGTCCTCCGGGGTGGGGGCCTCAAGTCCACTGCTGCCCCCCCAAATTTACTGAAATTATGGTACACAGATCAGTGGTAACGGCAAAATGTATAAGCTTGCTACTGTTGTATTGAAAAAAGATGCAACCTTGCCAAACATAATCCTAGTTTTAGTGTTACATTTTGGTCTTAAATGGTCTTCTTCAACAATGAAACTGCAGTCTCTTACAAATTTGTGTTTATGAATAAATAATTATAAATTTTGTTTTAAACTGGTAACGTGGCGTTCTTTTATAGTGAGATAGCACACATTGATGGAGTGAAGCAGTCCATGCATCAATGAACCATATTTTTAAGTGGAACCGCCTCTGGATACCGTGTAGCATAGTCCATCATAGTTAAGATGTATCGATGACCCCATCACTGGCTGGCGTAATTGGTCCAACCAAATCTATAGCCACACGCTTGAATGGCATATCAATTAAAGGCATCTTACCTAATGGGGCCTTCACAACTGATCCCTTTGAAACAGTCTTCTGGCACACATCACACGACCTACAAAAACTGGTAACATCTTGATGTAGCCCAGGCCAATAAAAGCTAGTCACAATCCGGTCTTCTGTCTTCTTTATCCCCAT